TAACTGTAAATAAAAAAAATTAAAAAATTAAGTTAAAAAAAAACACATATATGTGACATGCCATTATCTATGTTATGTTAGTAATTTTTTTTAAACAACCTCGGGATACTCTTTCAAAATTTGAGACAATTAAACAAAAAAGTTTAGTTAAAAACAAACTTGAAACTTAAAAAAAAAATAGGAAACAAATAATTAATTAACCCTAAAAAATATTAACTTTTATTAAATATTTTCGTATTTTAACTATATATAATATATAAATTATACTAATTATTTACTAAATTGTGTAAGATTATATATTGATTAAGATTACAAGAATATATAATTTATAATAAAATTAAAAGTTTTATGTTTTATTTATTACATTTTATTTTAAAAAATATTATTCAATTTTGTTGTGTAAATTTTGTCTACATCATGCAATTTGCATTTATTATGATTTCCTCCTTGTTTAACGAAGTTGTGAATCTTCTTATATTATTACTAGTGTAAAAATATCGTATAACGTCACGCATTCAGTCTTTTTATATTTTCGTGTTTTTGTCCTTTATAGGCATATTCTAATTTCTCTCTCACTGGTGGCAACACTTTATTTTGACGAATTCACCTTTTGAAGATTAGCTTTTGTTTTAGTTTTGGAGAATTTATTTGTTGAACTTATTTGTTGTTTTTTTGTTGGACTTGTTTGTTGTTGTTGTTTGGTTGAACATGTTTGTTGTTGTTTAATTGAACTTGTTTGTTGTTTGTTGTTGATACTACATTACACGTCCATAGTTCATGCTTTACAAAATACCAAAAGCTGAAATTTGTTATTTTTCTGTTTTGAAGGTTTCATAGAGTTGTAGAAAATGATCATAATTAATTAAAAAAATTGATTAACGTCGAATATTGACAAAATTCGACGTTAATTTGTTCTACTGTGAACGTCGAATTGGTCGAGAAACAACATGTTCATTCGTTACTCACTACTCGTATTGAGATATTCAATTGATATGCTAGATATTATCTTGAACTACGTATCTCAGAATAAATAATTAATGAATATATTTTAAAAATAATAACTCTTTTATCTTGATTTTAGAAAAATAAAAAAGACATCTAATATTTGCTTCATTAACTTTAAAAATTTCTACACTAGTTTGATTTTTTTCTTTTTTAAATTTATGATATATAAGCCTCAAAATTCAGGTACATTATGGTGGAAGATTTTATGTTTAGTAAATGTAAGAATTATATTTATAATATAAGTCGAGAAATTTATGATATATAAACCTCAAAATTCACTTGGATTTGAATGGTGGGTGAATAAGAGGACTTTAGAATGAGTTAATATATTATTGTAAGCACAAATTCAACATGTGAAATGATTTTGTAACCTTTAAAAAATCATTATATACTTTTTCCCTTTTTTTTTAATAAAGTTTGTCACAATTTTTTGGTAACTCCTTTCTTCCTGACTTTCCGCCCTGGTGGCTTTACAGTGTGGTTAGTTCACATTCAAGAATTGAGCCTCTCAAAGTTTTACATATACGGGTTTATATAAAAAAAATAAAACCGTGAATATAAATATTTACTTTTTATCCATCTAAAGCAAATATAGATAAATAGATAGAAAGAACAATATTAACTTTAGATTTTATTTATTTATGTTTATGTCCAAAAACATATATTACATTTTTATTTTAATGATCTCACGTCTAATAATCTTACATCATATATATATATATATATATGGGTTTGCTAACGTGCACGTCTGTTTTTCAGTTGGTACATTTTAGTAATGTGTACCGGGTTAAGTTAATGGTATTTTAATAATTTTCATTCTCAAAACTAAAAAAAAAAAAGAAATCCCGAAACCCTTACTCACCTCTCTCATTCTTCTCAACCCTTTCTCTTTCATCTCTCTCACTCCAACATTTTCTCTGTTATCCCTACTATAGCCCCAATTGACAAAATCAGAAACTGTAGCCCCAATTGAAAAAATCAGAAACACTTGTCGTCAAATAATTTGTCTTTGTAAAGAGTTGAGTCATTAACATATTCACCTTCAGGCAAAGGTTCATTCAATATCTCTTCAATTTCACCATCTTCACTAACCTCTCTAATTTCATCATCTACATATGTTGAATCATCATCTCTAAAAAAAACCCTCCAGACCAATTACCAATTTCTTCGGATGTCATTATGCTTGTGAAAATTAGATAAAATTATATACGACAAAAATTATAAAATGAAAACTCATTATAAAATCATTTTTTGTAAGAAATTGTTTAACAACAAGTGTTTCTGATTTTTTCCAGGCCAATTACCAATTCCTTTGATGTCACTATGCTTCTGAAAATTAGATAAGACAAAAATTATAAAATGAAAACTCATTATAAAATCATTTTTTGTAAGAAATTGTTTAACCGCGAGTATTTCTGATTTTTTCCTGGTCAATTACCAATTCCTTTATACTTGTGAAAATTGGATAAAATTAGATAAGACAAAAATTATAAAATGAAAACTCATTATAAAATCATTTTTTGTAAGATTGTTTAACAGCAAGTGTTTCTGATTTTTTGAATTGGGACTATAGTAGAGATGAAAATTATTAAAATATTCTTAACCTTAAAACTTAGAATCCATGATATATAAGGGTATTTTTTAGTTATATTTATCTTTTTATCCATGCATTTATTATTTTTTACATTTTGTTCTTCAGAGTTTTTATCTAAATTATTTTTCTCATCTCTTTTATTTACACTAATTTTCTTAATTCATTGTGATTTTTCTAATGTCTTTTATATATATATATATATATATATATA